CTAGAGAACAATTCTCAGTCAATATTTCAGAGGTCAAGTAATAAAACTTGGCAAGTCTTTAAAAATGTGATTACTTATGAGAAAAGAAGGCATTATGTTGGAGCATGACCCTTTCAGATGAAATATAATTATGAAACAGGTATTTTAGAAATTTCTTTTGTTAAAAAGCACTGACTTCTTTGGCCCCATATAAAAGCAGGAGAAAAGCTACACATTCCTGCCTCCATTTTACATGTTTCTCCTGTAATCATCTTGGGTTCTAGAAAACAGGACTGATAATATCTTCATGACAAGGGACCAAAAGTGCTGCCAACAAAAGAAGAGTAGAGCTTAGCAGGACAGGCCACTCCTCAAATGAGGATATTTACCTGTAATGATGAGAATTACATTGGTCTACTCACACGATAACAGTTAACAACTCTGGAAAAACAGAACCCAAACCACATTTTCTGTGCACATCTCTTTTTACCCTTCTTCTTCCTTTGTTTACACCAACAGCTCATTTCTGTACTCCAAAGATGGGAATGTTTACTTTGCCCCTTCCTGTGGCATGCCTATGCTGTATAATAAATCTTACTGTCTTTCTCTACTATTCTTTATTTCTTGTATTGGAGAGAGTGAGTAGTGGTAGACTTGACATAATGGAACCCTAGATTTGGACTTCCAAGCTTAGAACTCTGGTTAGAATTACAAGTTTGTCTTATTATAATTGTACAAGCTACTTTATTAACAATAGAGAAAAGATTCTTTTGGGATAATATACCCAGAGATTAAATCAGTGACAACTATTATTGAATCTAGAGTATATGAAAACATTTGGTTTGAAGAATGTGCAATGAATTAGGAAGTTTAATAAAGAATGTTTAATAAAGATTTTTATGACTATATGACAGTATGAACTCTGGATGTTTCCTCAAATAAATTACTATTGAGAAGAAAATAAAGAAAGTTAAATTATCTATAATGGGCAAACAAAATTTAAGCAAAAGTGTTATGTTATTTGGAAAGTAATTTTCAAGATGCAAGTAAGTTAAATGGGTTGTATGGTGTTATGTTTATATTCCAAATCAAATTTAGTTTTTGAAAGAAGTTCTTAATTTCCAAGAGTCCTGTTAAACACCAAATATATATTCACATGGCGTTTTGTTTTGTGCTAGCCAAGAAGCCTGCCTGCTATATGGAGGTGACAGAAGATTGGATTGGTTTCTTGTTAGTTTTTAGAGTTATTAAAATAACAAAGTTGTTTACTTCCTAGTAGGTGAGTACAGAATAACGTCTGTTTTTATGCTGTTGTGCTAAATCTATACGTTGTATTTGAGGCTGGTGAAAGCTGTGGGTTTCTTCTGTGACTCGAGTTGTCCTTTCAGCAGAGCTGTCTGGCTTGCTGCATGCTCATGGCAGCTTTGACGCTCTCTCTGTCTGTCTCTCTGTGTGTGTGTCTCTGTCTGTCTGACTCTCTCTCTCCAGAACAACATCTTGGAGATCATAAATGCAGACACAAATAAGTTACCTCAGTTTTATAGGAAGGTGTCAAACATCTGATGTGACAAGAACTGACATGAAATTCTGAAATTTGTATTTATTACAAACTAGGTTTAGCAGGTTTTCTCAAAATAGGTAAAATTTTTTTGATCTAATAGATGTAGGAATTGATCAGTTGCTTGTTTTAATACTTTCTTCAAAGGAATGGAATGTTATGTTTATGTAAAGCTGCAAAACTCTATTAATATAGTAGAACCAGATTTCCACTCCAGAACTGGTGCTATGTTGCTTGTTAATAAGAAAATTATAGCGATATTATCTATTCTAATTACTATACCCCTTCCTTGTTATCTAAATTTATATCTGTACATGTTTACATACATATACGTGTATGTAGAAGCAACAAAAAACTCTACCCAGGCATTTTTATAAAGGGATTTTTACTATAGATTACTATAGATTACCAAAAAATCTAAAGTTTCAGATGAACTAGGCTATATTCAATTGGACTTAAAAAGCAGAACGAGCTGGTTGTAGGGGCACATAGCGGTTATCACAAGTACATGAGAGGTAAACATAGGAGGAATGCTACTGGTGGCCAACCCGAGCAATAGTAGCAAGAGAGCATGTCTAAAAAAACAAAAGCAAAAAGGATGAGCATGCCTCCAGAGTGCTTTGTCTGAGCACTTGATTTCGGAGAGAAACTCACAGAATGTAACAAACAGAAAGTTTATTCAATATATAAGCAAAGAGACAGAAAAGCAGCAGGTGCAATAAACAGCATCCACTGTAGCTACTAATCTGAAAGTATTTAATATGGAAGGATGAAAGCTGGTACCTATATTTTGGGATGTATATGTATACACAGGAATGTAAAACTGAACCCAGAGTTCGAGCCCTATGACTGACGACAAAAAAAAAAGTTGAATACCTTCCTAAAGTACTTTCTAGTCCTTTGATTCTGCATGTATGTATGTACATATGTACGTATGTATGTATGTATGTCAGTCAGTCATGGGGCTTGAACTCTGGGCCTGGGCACCGCCCCTCAGCTCTTCAGCTCAAGGTGAGTGCTCTACCACTTGAGCCACAGCATCACTTCTGGTTTTCTGGTGGTTAATTAGAGATAGTCTCTCGGACTTTCCTGACTGGGCTGGCTATGCACTGTGATCCTCAGATCTCATCCTCTTGAGTAGCGAGGATTACAGGTGTGAGCCACTGGCATCTGGCCTGATTCTGTATTTTAATACTAAAAGAACTGGGAAAGGTACAATAATTTTTTTGTGTGCCTTCATTCATTATGTAAGTATAAATCCAGAAAACTTACTATACTGGAATTATATACATTTGCTAGAAATATTGTGCTATATCTGTTATACATTAAATCATAATCTTTACAAGTCATATTTCTGAAATCAGATGTTTCTGAAGAGTTAGTCTTAATTTACCAAGATCTTTTCCTATTTTGATTGTATTTGAGATTTTTTTACAAGATAATGATCTTGTGATTTAGATACATGTACTAATATTTGTATTATCCACTTCACTTTAACAAAGCAGATTTCAGATAATTTCCTAATATTGCTCTCATAACATGGATGAAACATTAGTTTTCAAATGATTAACTGAAGATCCATCACAAAATAGAAAAAAATTAAATGGGCTTCATTTAGAACATATTTAGAGAATTTTTATCCTCTCAGTCTGTTTCCTTGTCAAGCTAAGTGATAAAGAAGGATAACAGCATCAATACACTAAAAATTTCTTTTGTGTGTGTGTTTGTGTGCGTGCGTGCCAGTACTCAGCTTAAACTCAGGGCCTATGCGCTGTCCCCGAACCTTTTGCTCAATTTAGGGTTCTACCACTTCATGCTACAGCTCCACTTCCAGCTTTTTGGGTAGTTAACTGGAAATAAGAGTCTTGTGGGCTTTCTTGCCCAGGCTGGCATCCAACCATGATCCTTAGATCTTAGCCTTCTGAGTAGCTCTGATTATAGGTGTGAGCCACTAGCGTCCAGTTCAAGATTGGCAATAAATTCTGAACTTTTTAATTGGCATCTCAAAACTAAATTCTAAGAAGTATACATGTATGAATTATTTGACTGTGTATAGTGAATATATATACACATAAAATCTATGTATTTGTAGATATATAACTGTGGAAGTAACACACTGAGTATGATTTGTTATCAAAATTCCTTGCCCAATAATATTAATCATTAATTTTTATTCATAGTCTAGGATTTGTTTAGCATCATATTTAACATCTGAAAACTGAAACATGAGCTTTTTTTGTTCTAAAAGATAGTGCTATTAAAAGAAGACTTCTACAGTTTTTTACTTACAGAATGAAACCTTTTGAAATTTCATTGTGGGACTTACTAGTTTATTTACATTTCTAAAACTAATAATAATCAATGTACATGCAATCTTTGTTTGTATACATTCACAGGGTCCTACTGTCCTAGTGAAATTATCTGACAGGCAAACATAGTCATTATGGTTTCAAAAGAAAACACCCTACACTTAACTCATGGGGAAAACTCTGGAGTCTATGTCCTGCTGCTACTGCAGCTGCTGATCACTGAGTACATATGGAATTGAAATAGGGAAGAAAAATGCAGATTTATTAGGGCAATGCCAATTTTTAGACCTTTCCTTTTCTCTTCTAAAATTAGGAAGTCAGTGAAAGAATTGTAAATGAATATAAAGAAGGATATTTCTTATACTACTACAGGAATTTCATGATTAAAATGTATGGCTTTGTTCTATATCTTTTGAACCAGTGATTCTTTCCTGCAACTTTCCAAGTTTAAAACATGAATTGGACTTAGAATCACAAAAGTTTTCCTTTGGTGAAAGAAATAGTTTTGAATTTTATGAAATCAATTTTCCTTTAAAATTACCTTATAATCAAATATATTAGTAAAATGAGAAAAAAGGTTAGAAAATTAAAGCATTTTACACTAACATAAGTTAATGTTAGTAAATCATGTCAGAAAAGTGAGTCGTTATCAAAATTCTACAAGGTAGGTTTATAGTATATAAAATTTAGTTATACTATAGAGGGTTATAGTGTTATTTCAAACATTAGAGAAAAACTTAATATGGTGAAATTAATCATATGAAAAAGCAAGAGCATGTTGGTCATATTTCCAATACTAATGTTGGAATATGCATAAATATTTAAAATGTTAGAGTAAAGGATGTATAAATATTTAAATTTAGAAAACTATAGCAGAAGCAAAATTAAAATAGGAGTAGCAGTAACAAACAAAATTAGACAAATTAGGCAAAATTAGTAAAAAATGTTAGACAAAAGCATCTTAAATGAAAACACAGCAAAAAATTAATATGACTAAATAACTGCTATGTTCTAAAGGTATGGCGGCATTAAAATTCTATTAGAATTATAAATGACATCCTTAGTATTAAATATCAAAGAATATAAAGCTCAGTGTCTAAAACTTTGAGAAGAAAATAAATAACACAAAGCAGAGAAAATGAAAGACATCTCACTATTCCCAGTGTAGTTATTATTTATGGAATGGATAAAACATGTAGAAAATGTTACTACAGTTAGATTAACACATAAAAAACCAACATGCCACATCTATCTAAATAATTTTGTAAAACAGCTGAAAAAGCAAATCTGGCTAAATTTAGACAGCTTATAGTGGAATAAATAAATGGTGAGGTATTAACTAACCCTAAGTTTCACAACGGGCAGCTTCTAGCCGGTTCCTTGAAGCTGGATCTTGGTCACACAAGGATCATTGGACAAGAAATCAGTTGAGCTGGACTAGAGCTGCCCAATTGTCTTAATAATGAATGCTCCACACTGTCTGTTAAGTAAAGAGAAAACACAGATCAGAAAGACTGAAAAAGGATAAAGTAGCGAAAATGAGGGGAGAACATCAATTAACATTTATGAACTGCTTTTCAGAACATGTGGAATTCACTAGAATGTTATAGAATAAGAAGCCAGCGAATTAGCAGGGGTTCAGAACCCGTCTACCTGCTAGTGTCCCAGTATATAAACCTTTAATATGAAAAATAGGTAACAGATCAGCACAGATTAAGTGAGTTAGAGTACTTCCTTTTGTTAAGTGAATTTAAAAAACTTGTTTGGAAGGCTATTTAGAAAGTTGTCCAATCATGTCCAATCACCCTCAATGTTGGCCATTGACAGGACAGAGTAATTACAAATACCTGTGTTATCTTGGGACCTTTTTTTTTTTTTTTGGTTGTTTTTAAGACTGGGTGCCCACTTGACAGATACTCCAGGCAAGTGTTCAGATGATGGTAGCCTCAGCTGATAACTGAAACTGCAGGACTTACTGAGATGCAGAATGATAAAGTTTTAAATTTACCAGACTAACAGAAAACATGACCAGTGGTGTCAAAGAAACCTAGCTGCTACTAGTTTTTTGGCACTCTGGGCACTGGCCAGGCCCTTGCTTTCCTAAAATACATTTTTAATTTTGGGTAGGTTCAAAATTTTTCCTATTTCTCGCAATATCTCTAGAGCAGTATTGTCCAATAGAACTTTTTATGTTGACCTAAATGTCCTTATCTTCAGTCAGATACAGGGGCCTCTAGTCATATGTGAGTGTTTAATACCTGAAATGCAGCTAGGTGTAATTGAAGCATTAAATTTTAATTTCACTTAACTGAAAGTTTAAATTATCCAGGTGCCAGTGGTTCACATCTCTAATCCTAGCTACTCAGGAGGATGAGATCTAAGAATTGAAGTTTGGAGCCAGCCCAGACAACAAATTTGAGTGACTCTTATCTCCAATAAACCAGAAAAAAAAAATCCCTTAGTGGAACGAAGCAGGGCACCAGTGATAGAGTGCCAACTGTTAGCAAAAAAGCCAAGTCAGAGCTTAGCAACCTGAGTTCAAGCCCCAGTACTAGAATGTGTGCACATGTACACATGCATGTACGCACGAACACACACATGCACCGTACATATAAAAAATTAAATAACTTCATGTTGCTAGTGGCAACTGGAGATAGCACAGCACTAGGGGTTTGAACTTGCCTGGTTTGCTAAAACCAAACTCGATATACTGGCCTGGCTTTTCTAGCCTACTTAATACTGTCCAGTATGACTTAGTATTATTCACTGTAGTATCTATTTCAGTGTCTACAACACAAAAAACACAATTAGATAATAAATATTTTTGTTGGCTGGATAAAATCTAGTGACAGTGATAATATACAACTACTATACATAGTAATAATATACAACTAACATACATAGTAAACTACTCATAGCTTATTAATTGTAAGCCAATAAATTCTAGTTTTCCCAGGAGAAATAGAGGAGTGATGTCATACTGTGTTTTTAAAATATATATTGTATTGTAAAGATACTGTACAGAGGGGTTACAGTTACATGAGTAAGGTAATGAGTCCATTTCCTATCGAGAATGTTACCCCCTCCTTATCTTACTGTTTTATGTGTTGAGGTTGCTTGGGTAAAGGCTTAGAGAAGAAATTTATACATATACAAATTTGAGTTCATGAACATTGGGAAACTAGAGAGTTTGGCAAGAATGTGGGCAAGAGTTAGAGTGAGGGAATACACTACTTTTATTTGTTTTAGATTAAGTCTTGCTATGCTGTCCAGGTTAGCTTGAACTTGTAATCATCCAACCTGAGCTGGGTTTGCTTCTGTACCAGGTAGAAAATCTAATTTTAGATTTAAAAAATTAAATGAATGGACTTGCCTATAATGCAGAGGCCCTGGGTCTGACACCTAGCAATCAAACCACTCATCAAGACAAAAATCAAAATCAAAACCCAGATGAATTCTGACTTCACACATGATCACAAGCATGGAAATGGAAAATGGAGAAGTCTTAAAAATATAACATCATGCTAAGCACTGGTGGCTCATGCTTGTAATTTTAGCTACTCAGGAGCAGCCTCCTGAGATCTAAGGATCTGAATCTAAACTACCTTGGGCAGGAAAAGTCGAGGCTAGCTTTAAACTTAATTATCTCAAATTTAATACAAAAAAAAGAAACCTGAAGTGGAGCTGTGGTTTAACTAATAGAATGTCACCTTTGAGAGAAGAAGCTCAGGAACAGTGCCCAGGCCCCGAATTCAAGCCCCAAGACTGGCATGTGCACACACATACATCAAGATAAAAATAGATGAAAAAGAAAGGTGAGTACAGAAATATAATGAAAGCATTAAGTCATATTATACTTTAAGGGGACACATTAGAGTAGATCATCTCAAGGGCCTTTCTATTTTGTAAATAGTTTTTATTAGAATTCTATTATTATTGTGGCTGTTTGTATACTATGCTGGCAAAGTTAAATAGCTTTTTTTTTGTGGTTTCTGGGGTTTGAACTTGAGCTTTTTGTTTAAGGCTACCATTCTACCACTTAAGCCACATATCTACCTACCTACCTACCTATCTACCTACCTACCTACCTGTGGTTAATTGGCAATAAGAGTCTTGTGGGCTTTTTGGCCTGGGCTAGCTTTGAATTGCCATCTTCATCTCTGCCCCTTGAGTAGCTAGGATTATAGGCGTGAGCCACTGGTTCCTGTCCATGATTGAGTATTTTTGATAGAGACTATGTAGCCTGTGCAGCTTAAACTATTTTCTATGGGCTCTTTTGTTGACCTTGTATTTAGCTTTCTCAGGATGGACAGAAATATTCATATGAGAACTTCTGAAATCTTATGGAAGACTTTAATATGGTAGCCTTGAGTATACTCACTCTATTCTTGCTATGGACTTTTAGGTTTGTGTCTCCCTCACTATCACTTATTATAGACAGTTCTCAATGTGATGATATCTGGAGGTGTGACCTCTGGGATGTAATTAGGTCATCAGAATGAAGCCCTAAATAATGTGATTAGTACCCTTCTAAGAACAGAGGACTGAGACCATAGCTTGCCTGGCATTCCCAAGGTCGTGGGTTTGATCCCCAACATCTCAAAAGAAAATGAAAATAATAGAGCAAAAAGAGTGTGCTATGCTCTCTCTGCACTCTACTTTGTGATGGTACAATCAGAAGACAGACACCTGCAAAGTGGAAAGTTGGTCCTCACCAGATAATGGATCTGCCAGCACCTTGATCTTGAATTTCCCAGCCTCCAAAACTGTGAGAAATAAATGTTTCAACACAGTTTGTAATATAGTTGTTAGAGCAGCCTGAACTAAGACACTTTATATTGAGGAAATAGCTACCAGGCTTTAAAAATAATGGATTCCCTTGATTATATTAACATTAAAATCAGAAATTATAGTGTATATAGCTAAGCACAATGAAGAAGCTGTTGACAATAGTGCTTTTGAAACAAACAGAACAGACGTACTTAGATATATAAGAAGATAAATATTTGTGAGTTTCTATCTATATTTAAGTTAGAGCTAAACGTACTCTATGCTTTACCTCTCAGAAATTTGAGTGTCTGTTTACAAAAGCACCAAGAACTTTTGTAAACATAAATTATCAAGTTTTTATTTTTTAACTACAGAAAAACAAAGTTTGTACATAGGCACCATATGATGTTTCGGGACATGTTTGTATACACTGTGTAATGTTTGAGTTGGGGTAATCATGTTTATCTTCTCTAGCATTTATCACATCTTTATATTCCACACATTACCAGAGTCAGGGGTATAAAGGTTTTAATTCATATGGAAAACTGAAAAGAGAGCAGGACACATTGCAGCAGATGTGTTCAAGTTGTCTGGTTACTGGCTGTGCTTATGGCAGATTTGGGTGTCATCTTTATGATGTTGTTCAGGGATTCAGAATGCAATAGTTGTGGGTCACAGAAGTTTTCAAAGGAACATCTAGGAAGCTAAGCAATGTGTAGCAGAGTTAGGATCTGCAAGGAGCCTCTTTAGAGGGTAGTATGTAAAGATGTGAAGGTGAAACTGAACATAATAGAAATCCTAGGAAGTTAGAGATGTCAGGAATGTGGAACATCTGCCAAGGACAGCCACAGGCTATGACCTAAGTCGTTATAAGAGAGGCCATGTGGGCCCTAAGACAAGACCATAGGGTCTGTAGCTGTTTAAGACCCCCAGCAGCCCACCATCATGTGCTTCAGATGGCTGGATTTCATGTTTGTCCTCTAGGTTATGCTCTTACTTTGGTCACATTCCTCTCTCTTGAAATAGTAATATTTACTCTGTGCTATTGTATATTGGAAGTATGTTTTGAGACTTTTTTTTTGTTGGTTATGGGGCTTGAACTCAAGACCTGGGCGCTGTCTCTGAGCTTTTTGCTTAAGGCTAGCACTCTACCACTTTGTGAGCCACAGCCCTACTTCTGTTTTTTCTGGTGGTAAATTGGAGAAAAGAGTTTCAAGGACTTTCCTGTCTAGGCTGGCTTGGAACCATGATCCTCAGATGTCAGCCTCCTAACTAGCTAAGATTACAGGTTTGAGTCATTGATGCCCGGCAAATTTTTAATTTTTATAGAGGATGACAGTTAAGTTTGCTTTGAGTCTCACAAGAGACTTTAGACTTGAACTTTTAACAAGCTTGGAACAGTTAAGACTGTGGGGGCTCTTAGAAATGGACTACATTCAATCTGCATTGGGATGGATGAGCCTTTGGAGTTCATGGGCGGAATATCAGTTTGATTATGAAATGTCCATTATGGGTTCATTGTTGAAGGCTTGGACACTATGTGGTTGTGTTATTTTGAAAGGTTGTTAGGACTTTAGAAAGCAGGCCTGGCTGGATAAAACTCACTGGGATTATATAGTTAGGAGCTGTATCCTGTTCTAGCACCTCTTTTTCTTCTTTCTGTCCACCACGGGGTGAACAGCCTCCACTACCACATCACCTGCTGTCATG